TAATAATACATATTATTTATTTATAATACATAAATAACGAGTTTGCTTTCCTTCTTTAAAGGTAAACTATAATGCACCACTATTGCAAACAAGAGCAAAACAATAGGGAGAAGCGAAAGCAGGAGGCAAGTGCCAACTGAAGCCGCTTTCCTCCCTAGCCTGGCACCAGCCCTGTCTCTCCGATTTCTTTGGGCAACACACAGGAGAAGACTCAATGGGGATTCAATTCAAGGCAGAGAACACGCTGTCCTTCTTTCTCACGGCTCATTTGGAATCGTGCAAGAGCCAACGTTTTGATTTGCTTTCTGCTCCAAACCTAAACACGGGGATATTTGTTCTCCGTGGGTTTTGGACAATGCAACGTCCTCATTAGCGAAAACCCCGCTTGAGGAAGGGCAGGCGTGGTCAGCCATGCAGGCCTCCGAGGGAGGGCCCTCTCCGCTCTTGGGGTGCAGTCAAGCATTCATGCGCGGCTTTGCGGGCCAAGGCGGCGTTCCCCGTCTCTCCCATCCGCCCTCAAGGACGCTCGGGTCCCGTCGTGCAACAAAAGGCCAGCTGGTCCAAAGCAAGCCTTGCCAAAAAATGCCATTCATCCCTTTCCAAATCTATCCAATTATTTTACAGCGGCAAACGAGGGCCAAAAAAGAAACAGTAAAAAACGACGACAAAGCCAGGCCAACAGAAGTTCCCTTGATGCGCCGTGCTCCGGTCATGTCGTTGGCCATTTCCAAGATGAGCTCAGGGGAGGAAGAGCGGCAGAAGGATGCGCTTGGCATCCCATCCATCGAGCGTCGCAGCTTCTCCATTCGGTCTATCAGCCACAATCGCACAAAGAGAAGCCCTGTCCGGCAGCATTAAAGGGGGCCCACACCAAGAGGCCACCCAACCCAAGGCACAGGCGGACATTCCCGAGTTGCAAACAGGAAAGATTCTGTAGGTCTGTCCTTAAGTTGAATGTGTTTGCAAGTCAGAGCAGGGACCTTTTTAGAGTCTGATTTCAACCATATATATAAAGCCTTCCTAATGTTATCCAAAATTAATATATGAATTAATATATAATATAATATATAATATAATATAATATATAATATAATAAGGTAAAGGTTGTCCCCTGACATTAAGTCCAGTCATGTCTGACTCTGGGGTGTGGTGCTCATCTCAATTTCTAAGCCAAAGAGCCGGCGTTGTCCGCAGACACTTCCAAGGTCATGTGGCCGGCATGACTGCATGGAGCACCGTTACCTTCCCACCGGAGCAGTACCTATTGATCTACTCACATTTGCATGTTTTCGAACTGCTAGGTTGGCAGAAGCTAGGGCTGACAGCGGAAGCTCACGCCGCTCCGGAATCGAACCTGCGACCTTTCGATCAACAAGCTCAGCAGCTCAGTGCTTTAACCCACTGCGCCACCGGGGCTCCATAATAAACTCATAAGCAAATAATAAAATAGAAGTACCAGTGTACAGAGGTAAAAAAAAAAGGTAAAGGTAGTCCCCTGACATTAAGTCCAGTCATGTCTGACTCTGGGGTGTGGTGCTCATCTCCATTTCTAAGCGAAGAGCCAGCGTTGTCCGTAGACACCTCCAAGGTCATGTGGCCAGCATGACTGTCAGCCACATTATTATATTATATTATATTAATAATATAATATTAATATATTAATACATATTAATATATTAATACATTATTAATACATATTAATATGTTAATACATATTAATACATATTAATATATGTATATGTACAATATAAATATATTAATATATGATTATGTACTTATATGTATATGTATGTATATGTGTGTGTTTGTGTGTGTGTGTATGTATATATGTATATGTACGTATGTGTGTATCTGTATGAGCCCCTGGTAATGCTGAGCTGCTGAACTTGCTGACTGAAAGGTCGGCAGTTTGAATCTGGGGAGCGGGGTGAACTACTGCTGTTAGCCTCAGCTTCTGCCAACCTAACAGTTTGGAGTCATGCAAATGTGAGTAGATCAATAGGTACTGCTTCTGCGGGAAGGTGACAGGGTGTGTGCGCGCGTGTATATATATATATACACACACACATACACATACACGCAGGGTACACAAAGAGGCTAGGGAGCCGCTAAAGAAGACGTACCTTGGAGGCGATGATGAAGAGCGTGGTCTCCGGGTTGAGCTCGGCCAGTGTCTTGGCCATGTGCGTGCCGTCGATGTTGGACACGAACCAGACGCGGGGGCCGCCCTTGGAGTAGGGCTTCAGGGCTTCAGTCACCATCAGGGGGCCCTGGGAAACGGGAAGAATCCAGTTGGAAGAGGCACCAAGCACTGGGAGGCTCCCTCGGCGGGGAGGATTGCCTCTGCATTGCTTTCAATCACGCATTTTTCATACACAGTGAAACCTTGACTTACGAGCGAACCAACGTACGAGTGATTTGAGATACGAGCTGTGACAACTATGAATGGTCGTCATAATGATACCTTGCAAATTTGGTTTATACAATACTAACAGATTACATGGAACTTTTAGATTCCTTAGGTACTAATTAGAATTAGATACAGATCTAGAAGAACCGTAACTATGTATGTAGCTTTTTTCCCTACCTCTGCACCCCTCCCCTGTGAAACATTAGATACTAGCTTGGGTCTCCAGCCATCATTATTATTATTATTATTATTATTATTATTATTATTATTTACTGCATTTCTATACCACTTTTCTCACCTCCAGGGGGACTAGCTTGGGTCTTCAGCCGCCATTATTATTATTATTATTATTATTATTATTATTATTATTATTTATTCACTGCATTTCTATATTGCTTTTCTCACCCCTGAGGGGACTAGCTTGGGTCTCCAACCTTTATTATTATTATTATTATTATTATTATTATTATTATTATTAATTATTTATTGCATTTCTATACCTCTTTTCTCACCCCTGGGGAGGACTATCTTGGGTCTCCAGCTGCTGCTATTATTATTATTATTATTATTATTATAACTTCATTTCTATACCTCTTCTCACCCCTGGAGGGGACTACCTTGGGTCTCCAGACTTTATTATTATTATTATTATTATTATTATTATTATTATTATTTACTGCATTTCTATACCACTTTTCTCACCCCTGGTGGGGCGGGGACTAGCTTGAGTCTCCAGCCTTTATTATTATTATTATTATTATTATTATTATTATTATTATTATTAGTTACTGCATTTCTATACCACTTTTCTCACCCCTGGGGGGAGTAGCTTGGGTCTCCAGCCTATTATTATTATTGTTATTATTATTATTTATTAACATTTCTATACTGCTTTTCTCATCCCTGGGGAGGACTATCTTGGGTCTCCAGCTGCTGCTATTATTATTATTATTATTATTATTATTATTATTATTATTATTATTATTTACTGCATTTCTATATTGCTTTTCTCACCCCTGAGGGGACTAGCTTGGGTCTCCAACCTTTATTATTATTATTATTATTATTATTATTATTATTATTATTAATTATTTACTGCATTTCTATACCTCTTTTCTCACCCCTGGGGCGACTAGCTTGGGTCTCCAGCCTTTATTATTATTATTACTATTATTATTATTATTTAATGCATTTCAATACCACTTGTCTCACCTATGGGGGGGACTAGCTTGGGTCTCCAGCCTTTATTATTATTGTTATTATTATTTAATGCATTTCTATACTGTTTTTCTCACCCCTGGGGGGACTAGCTTGTGTCTCCAGTCTATTATTATTATTATTATTATTATTATTATTATTATTATTATTATTATTATTATTTACTGCATTTCTATACTGCTTTTCTCACCTTCGGAGGGGACTACCTTGGGTCTCCAGCCTTTATTATTATTATTATTATTATTATTATTATTATTATTACTATTTACTGCATTTCTATACAGCTTTTCTCACCCCTGGGGGTACTAGCTTGGGTCTCCAGCCATCATCATCATCATCATCATCATGTCATTATTAACTGCATTTCTATACCACTTTTCTCGCCCCTGGGGGGACTAGCTTGGGTTTCCAGCCATTATCATTATTATTATTATTATTATTATTATCTGCATTTCTATATTGCTTTTCTCACCCCTGGGGGGACTAGCTTGGGTCTCCACCCATTATTATTATTATTGTTGTTGTTATTTACTGCATTTCTATACCACTTTTCTCACTTAAAGTGTGTTATGTTGAGTAGGTTTTCCCTAGATGCATCATCAATAGGGTTTAGTGTGAGCCAGTTTGTGAAAAAGCGGAATACAAATAGTAACAACAATTCCTAATCATTAACTGAAGTCAGCGATGCAGCTCACCAGGTCCGACCCGCCAATCCCAACGTTGACCACGTCCGTCATGGCTTTCCCAGTGTAGCCTTTCCAGTCCCCGCTGCGAACTTTCTGCAACACGGAAAACAACACAGAGAGCACTGGGATTAAAACATATAAAATCCAGATTATCTGCTTTGAACCGGATTATATGGCAGTATCCTCTACAGCAGACCTGGGCCAACTTGGGCCCTCCCTCCAGGTGTTTTGGACTTCAACTCCCACAATTCCTAACAGCCTACCGGCTGTTAGGAATTGTGGGAGTTGAAGTCCAAAACACCTGGAGGGCCCAAGTTGGCCCAGGCCTGATCTACAGCAATCCCTGCAAGTTTTGTTATGCCATACTCTAGCTAGGATACGTATCACACCATTCCTACAGAAATCACAACGGCTGTGTCATTCCTACCTGGCAGAAACCCTTCATCTTCTCCAGCACTTTGTTCACTTCCGGAACCACGTCTTTGCCGTCCACCAAGATGGGAGTGTTGGAGCGATTCCGCAGCGCGATGTGGAGCACGGCGCGGTTCTGAAACAGGACGGAATCATCATCAGGCAAGGACAGAGAGCCATGGGTAAGCCGTGCATGCAATCACACTCTGTAGCAAGAGTTTTGTTCCTGGGTTATCAATATCATTTCCTATTTGGCTCAATCATATAAACACAGGAAAAAACTTATTAAACGGCACAAACTTTGCTCTTGCAGGAGGGACATCCGGCAACTCATTAGATATTACATAATATTATTATATTATAACTCCAGTATGCTGATGACAACGTCATCTATGCACATTCAGAAGAAGACTTACAAGCCACTCTAAACACCTTCGCAGAAGCATACGAGAAGTTCGGCCAGTCATTGAACATCGATAAAACCAAAGTGCTCTTCTGGCCAATCCCTCTCCAATGCCAGAAATACAGCTTAAGGGTGTAACATTAGAAAATGTGGACCATTTCCGCTCCCTTGGCAGCCACCTCTCCACAAAACTCAACATTGACACTGAAATTCAACACCGCCTGAGCTCTGCGAGTGCAGCATTTTCCGAATGAAGCAGAGAGTGTTTGAGGACCAGGACATCCATAGGGATACCAAGGTGCTTGTTTATAAAGCTATTGTCCTCCCAACCCTGCTATACGCCTGCAAGATGTGGACTGTCTACAGACGTCACATGCAACTCCTGGAACGATTCCATCAGCGCTGCCTCTGGAAAATCCTGCAAATCTCTTGGGAAGACAAGCGGACAAATGTCAGCGTGCTGGAAGAAGCAAAGACCACCAGCATTGAAGCGATGGGTCCTCCGCCATCAATTCCGCTGGACTGGCCACGTTGTCCAGATGCCCGACCACCATTTCCCAAACCAGCTGCTCTACTCTGAACTCAAGAACGGAAAACGGAATGTTGGTGGGCAGGAAAAGAGATTGAAAGATGGGCTCAAAGCCAACCTTAAAACTCTGGCATAGACACTGAGAACTGGGAAGCCCTGGCCCTTGAGCTCCAGCTGGAGGTCAGCTGTGACCAGCAGTACTGCAGAATTTGAAGAGGCACGAATGGAGGGTGAAAGAGAGAAATGTGCCAAGAGGAAGGCGCGTCAAGCCAACCCCGACCAAGACCGCCTTCACCGTGGGAGAACATGCAGGTCAAGAATAGGGCTCCACAGTCACCTACGGACCCACCACCAGGATTCTAAACTTGGAGGAGGACTCGCCTAAGTAATTATTATATTATATTAAAATATTATATTATTATATTATACATTGATGAACATTGAAGTCCCCCAGCACTATAAGCTGTTGGGACTCCAATGCCAGGCCCGAGATCACCCCGGCTAGCTCAGGTAGGGAGGTTGTAGTGTTGCGAGGTGGTCGGTACACTACAAGTATCCCTATTCTGTCCCGGTCTCCTACTCTCAGGTGGACGCATTCAAATGAGGGTGTCTGTGGGATGGGGCATCTGGTCAAGGAGATGGAAACCCTATAGACCACTGCAATCCCTCCTCCCCACCCCCCAGATCTTGGCTGATGCTGCACAGCTTTCTTTGTTCATAAACTTTCCTCTAAATGCTGTGCCTAAAATGTTTATTTGTTGTTTATTTGTTCAGTCGCTTCCAACACTTTGTGACCTCATGGACCAGCTCAGGCCAGAGCTCCCTGTGGGCTGTGCCCACGTGCAGCTCCTTCAAGGTCAAGCCAGTCACTTCTTTATTTATTTATATTAATTACAGTAATGACAAGCTTCTGGCAACCTTGCAGTTTGAAAACATGTAAATGCGAGTAGATGAATAGGTACCACTCTGGCGGGAAGGTAACGCTGCTCCATGCAGTCCTGCCAGTGGCCACATGAGCTTGGAGGTGTCTACGGACAACGTCGGCTCTTTGGCTTAGACATGGAGATGAGCACCAACCTCCAGAGTCAAATATGATTAGACTTAAGGACAGAAGGAGGAGGCCGTGCCTGTCGCAAACAAGCTTGAAGAACCACAGAAAGATAGAAAGGAACTGAAGGAAGTTTCCTAATGTTATTAGAGACTTCCTAATTTTAGGGCTTCGCTTGGACTGATTCTTAACACTCCCCAGATCCGTCTCTCGAAGGAGAAGTGACCGTTATAAAATGCAAGAGGAGCTTCCTGTAAAAAGGGAGAGAGCCTGGTCAAATGGCTGTGGTTACAGAGAGCAAAATGTGACAAGATCCCCTTCCTCAAGAAAGAGAGGCCCTTCCTTGAGAGCAAGGCTGCCCACCTCCCTTGTATTTCAGCCCTTTCCTATCCGAGCGACGGGAGGATTCCCTTTGTCATTTGGGAGTTGTAGCTGCTGGGATTTATAGTTCACCTTCAATGAAAGAGCATTCTGAACCCCACCAACAATGGAATTGAACCAAACTTGGCACACAGTTCTCCCATGACCAACCGAAAATACTGGAAGGGTTTGGTGGGCATTGACCTTGACTTTTGGAGTTGTAGTTCACCTACATCCAGAGAGTACTGTGGACTCAAATAATGATGGATTGGGACCAAACTCGACATGAATACTCAATATGCGCAAATGTGAACACTGGTGGAGGTTGGGAACAACAGACCTTGACATTTGGGAGTTGTAGTTGCTGGGATTATAGTTCGCCTACAATCCAAGAGCATTCTGAACCCCATCAACGATAGAATTGGGCCAAACTTCCCACACAGAACACCCATGCCCAACAGAAAATACTGTGTTTACTGATGGTCTTTGGCGACCCCTCTGACACCCCCTCACGACCCCCCCAGGGGTCCCGACCCCCAGGTGGAGAAACCCTGCTCTAATGCTTGCATAATGGGAAAAACGAGAGGGCCAAGGGTGCTGTTTCCACCATTTCGGTCATTCTGATATGAAGGAAAAACAATTTCTCTTCGTTTAGGAATCCAAGAAGACTTGGAGGTAGCCAAAGGCTACGACTCCTCAGAAGGAAAGGAATACAAGGGGAAAACATGGTGCACCTTAGAACCTTTTGCACCAAAACAACAATCTCTAGTAATATAATATAATATAATAATAGTCTCAACTAAGAGACTGACACGTCTGACTTGCTATAAGCCAGCGTGTCTCAAACTGGGAGTCACAAGGAGGTGTCAGAGGAGTCGCCAAAGACCATCAGAACACACAGTATTTTCTCTTGTTCATGGGGGTCCTGTGTGAGAAGTTTGGCGAGCTGAATGTCCACTTAAGGTCACCCAGTGAGTTTATGGTTACGTCGGAAGCCGGCAAGAAACTCCTGAAGGAACGAGCTCACGGTGTATTTATTTACAGTATTTATATTCCGACCTTCTCGCTTGCAAGGGACTCAGGGTGGATTACAATGCACATATACATGGCAAACATTCACTGCCATTTAGACATACAACATATATAGACAGACACAGAGGCAATTCAACATTCCAGCTTTTCTTGCTTCATGAGGGTACGCTCAGTTCCAGCCACAGGGAGAGCTGCCGCTTCACCGTCCAGTTGTGACACCAAGTCCTTGATGGGGTACTTTCTCATTCTTATGCATGCTGCTGGAAGGTTTTATGGTGTCATAAATTAGCCTAAAGCGGTACCTAAATTTCCTCCTTGGCAGATGCAACCGTCTTTCAGGCTGCATAGGTAAACAAAAAGCTAGACTATTAATAGTCAGGTGCTCACTTTGACCCAGGGTGGCTTCAAACTCATGACCTCTTGGTCAGTAATGATTTAATGCAGCTGGGTTTTATGGTGTTGTAAATTAGTTAAATTAGCCTCCCCATATAAAGTGGTACATAAATTTCCTACTTGACAGATGCAATTGTCTTTTGGGCTGCATAGGTCAACAGCAAGCTAGACTATTAATGGTTGAGAGCTCACTGTGACTTGGGCTGGCTTCGAACTTATGACCTCTCGGTCAGTAGTGATTTAATGCAGTTGGATTTTATGGTGTCGTAAATTAGTTAAATTAGCCTCCCAACGTAAAGTGGGACCTACATTTCCTACTTGGCAAATGCAACTGTCTTTCGGGCTGCATAGATCTTTTGTTTTTATAAAGAATTTTTATTTTTACAATACAAAAAAAATTACATACCGTGCACACACAAAATATTTACAATTCTCACCGCCAACACAAGGATTGTTTTCTTTTACATATTCATTTCTTTTTGAGACAATCATTATATCTTTATACATTTCCATCCTGTATCCTATATAACATTTGTATCTTATTTCTTATGGCTTGATCTCTGGAATTATTCATAATATAGTTCTTCTTGTCCATCTTTCTTCCACTTCTCTCATTCTATTTTCATTGATTTTTAAATCATTTAATTTCACATTCATAATTTCAAATTCCATTTGCTCCACCATATATTGGAACCATTTATTTACTGTCCATTTTGATTTATCTTTCCACCCTAATACTATTACTGCTTGTGCACATTCTATTATTGCTTCTTTTATTTCCCGTTTCCTCTCTTTTCCCTAATACTGCTATTTCCTTTGTTATGACCCACTCATTTCCTAGTGGGCTGCATAGGTCAACAGCAAGCTAGACTATTAATGGTCAGGAACTCACTCCGACCCAGGGTGGCTTCGAAGTCATGACCTCTCGGTCAGTAGTGATTTAATGCAGCTGGTTACTAACTATATGCCGATATGCAGCTGAGGTTGTGTTGGCTTCTCCCAATCTCCCAGGACTTGAGGTGGGAAATAAGTATTACCAGCATATTCATGCACTCCTACACTATCTTATCAATAGGTCGGCTTTGTGTGGATCCTAAGACCAAAACAACTGGTTTTTCAAGAAAGAAGCTTATTTACATAACAGGATGGTTAGCAGAAGGAATGAGGGCAAATCACAACTTGACCAGAATAATGGTGATCTGACCGCTCACCATTATTAACCTTCAGCAGAAGTCTTCCTACAGAACTCAGATAGACAAAAGGTTCATACCTCGGTGAAGTTGATCTTCTCCCCGCTGAACATTTGCTCTCGGGCTTTTTCAACACCCCTGGATTTTGCCTGCAAAGAAAACATTTAGTATTGAGTCAAGAGCCCAAATAGTCATGTTACAGAAATGAATACATAGTTTTCTAAGATCTACAGAGACACTCGCTGGAACACCCCAGCAAGCGAGAGTCCAAAAGTGGCAGGCTCAAACCCAGAACCTCAATCCATGGCTGATACCAAATGAGAGACTCCCCCCTGGGCACACAGAAGACTGGGCGACTTGGAAGGCGCTGAACAGACTGCGCTCTGGCACCACGAGATGCAGAGCCAACCTCAAGAAATGGGGCCACAAAGTGGAATCCACGCACGACATGCGAGTCCGGAGAAGAGCCAATCACTGACCACCTGCTGCAATGCAACCTGAACCCTGCCACATGCACCAGAKGCACTCCAAGGGGCCAGAGACTGCTCAAAGGACATTTAATCAACGACCAAGCTTAMAAACATTGTGTTTTGTTTGTTTGTTTGTTTGTTAAAAATGCAATACAACTTTGGTTTGCTCCTGAAACTACAGACCACTTGCTGCAATGCAACCTAAGCCCTGCCACATGCACCATGGAGGACCTTCTTGYGGCAACACCAGAGGCACTCCAAGGGGCCAGAGACTGCTCAAAGGACATTTAATCAACKACCAAGCTTGCAAACTTTGTGTTTTGTTTGTTTGTTAAAAATGCAATACAACTTTGGTTTGCTCCTGAAATACAACTTTTAAAAATGCAATACAACTTTGGTTTGCTTTGTTCTGTTAGAAATGTACCACARTTGTCTGGTTGCCCCTGACATGATAAATAACCCTGGGAAGCAAAAGGAAAACATCTAAGCATAGGGCAGCCATCTTGTCTATCACTTACTTAGGATTCTCCCAATTTATAAGAGCTTCAACATGTCAATAATCACCAATACACCCCATAGTGCACAAGATTATTGACTTTACGCACAAATTATCAGGGCAGATACAAGACTTGTGCATTTGGGGAAAGCTTTCGTGTTCAGCTTTCAGTGGGAACCCTGATCCGTTTTCGTCTAAACCTCCCGAATTCAGGTTAGATATTTGTTTTTTCATTTTGTCTCTGTGTACATTATTTGGGGAGGGGGGCTTCACCCATAGGCCCAAAGCTTTGGGTCTACGTACTTGGGCCCAGCAAGGGCTGCAGAGCACCGAGTAAGGAGTGCTCTGTGCTCAACTGCAGGCCCTGCCAGACCCGGGCGCTTAGACCCAAAGCCTGCACCCATAGATCTGGGCGCTTTGGGCCTACGAGTACACACTTCCCAGCCTACGTGTCCGGGCCTGGCAGGGCCTGTAGCCGAGTGTCAAGTAAGGACCACACCTTACTCCGCACTTAGCTGCAGGCCCTGCCACGCTTCACGCAATCCACCCGAAAGGCAGACTGCATTTTCATTGCAGGAGGGACCTTTCAGTTTTGTGCCATCCAAATGGATGGAACGAAATGATGGGGACAATTTTGGGGCCCATGACTAGCAGATACTGCGCCTTGAGAAAGAGCAGCCGCTAGATTACAATACACTACACACGTCATCTAATCAGTTGACATTATATAGATTACTGCAATGCACTCTATGTGGGGTTGCCTTTGAAGACTGTTCGGAAACTTCAATTAGTCCAGCGGGCGGCAGCCAGATTACTCACCGGAGCATCATACAGGGAACATACCACCACTCTGTTATGTCAGCTCCACTGGCTGCTGATCCAGTTCCGAGCACAATTCAAAGTACTGGTCTTGACCTAGAAAACCCTATACGGTTCCGGTCCAGTGTATCTGTTCGAACGTATCTCCTTCTACGTCCCACCTCGGAGTTTAAGATCTTCTGGGGAGGCCCTGCTCTCGGCCCCGCCTCTATCACAAGTGAGATTGGCGGGGACGAGGAGCAGGGCCTTCTCGATGGTGGCCCCTCACCTGTGGAATTCACTCCCCGGGGAAATTAGGTCATCGACATCCCTCCTCTCTTTTAGAAGGAAATTAAAAACATGGATTTGGGACCAGGCGTTTGGGTAACCTGGCAGATAGACAAAGGACAATGACGACTAGAATTGATAGGAACTAACAACGTGGAATGAATTTATGGATTCAGAGCTGGCGAACGTTGAGCATGAGATTGGTTTTATTGATTGTGATGTATAATTGATTGTTTTAACAGTTTATAATTGTTTAAATTGCTGTTTATATATGTTTTATTTTTACTGTTTGTGTAGGCATCAAATTGTGCCTTTTGTAAGCCGCCCTGATTCCCCCCTCGGGGGTTGAGAAGGGTGGGGTAGAAATACGCAAAATAAATAAATAAATTATCAGGAAAGAATTTGCTTACTTGATGTTTTCGAATGTGGACGTTTTCCTTGTTGTACTTGGCATATCACCACAATACAATAGAGTCTCGCTTATCCAACCTTTGCTTATCCGACATTCCATCTTATCCGACACCTCCCTTTTCCTCCAGCATTTCCCCTTCAATACAAGGAGCGCATTTCCCCAACTCTCTCTGCATTCCCAATAAGTGAAAAAGGCAAGACAAGGAGGAGGAAGAGAGAGGAAAGGGGAAAAACAGGACCAGAAGCAGAAGTCTCCTCTCTCCTTCCCTCTGTGATTTCCACGCTCCTTTTCCACATCCAGGCACTTTGTGCTGGGCCCCTCTAGCCCTGGGGCGTTGCCTTGCCTTAAACCTTTAAGTCCCTGGTGTTAGTATTCTAGGTGTCTAGCATTGGACAAGTAACAGTTGGAGACTCCCTATTATCCGACATTTTCGTTTATCCGACATTCTGCATACCCACTTATGTCGGATAAGTGAGAATCTACTGTACAAATCACTGCAATACAAATGTATTGTAGTCCTTGTGGAGAGAAATAGTGGGATATAAATATAAACATAATAATGTGAGCTGCCACTTACCACGTCAATCAACAGCTTCATGACATCTTCATTGATGAGGTTCTTCGAATAGTCAACCAGGATGTCCCCATGATCGGTGTTAAGAGTCAAGCTGCCAAAATAGAACGACAAAAAGGTTGGCCTGTTATATAATGTTAGGTAGATAATGCTGTATTAGATAGAAATGCATTGCCTGTAACTCCAGTGTGTGAAGAAATACAGTTCTAATGGACACGTGGTCACAGCACATTCCACTGAAGGGCTATGGAGATGTGGACCTGGAGATGTGGACCTAGAGCAAATGGAGATGTGGACCTAGATCAGGCATGGGCAAACTTCGGCCCTCCCGCTGTTTTGGACTTCAACTCCCACAATTCCTAAGTCTCAGGTCCCTTCCTTTTCCCCTTCAGCCGCTTAGGATGGAGCCTGAGGCCATTAGGAATTGTGGGAGTTGAAGTCCAAAACACTGGGAGGGCCGAAGTTTGCCCATGCGTGATCTAGGACAGCTGAGTTATGACCATGTGACAGGCATGACGAGAACTGTATCATTTCCAGGTATAAAAATAAGTGGCAGGCATGTGCATGATCTCTTTGCCATGTGCACACTCTCCCGCCATGATCCCTTCCCATGTCGATCTCTCGCCATGATGTCTTCTTCAGAGACTGTGTTGTTGTTGTGATCATACCTCCGTATATACTGGTATCAGACCTAATGTAAATAGCTGTACATATAGCAACAAGTCTCTGAAATGAGTTTGTATGAAAGTCAAAGTGCCTGATTGAAGTAGTGAGCTGCAAACAAGGTCAGAGGCTGTGCTATAAATCTCTGCTAACTACAGATAAAGACTCTGCAGTGTTTTGGTTCGAACTAACTGCTTGCCTTGAAAGAATCAATCACATACACAGCTCAGGGAGGAATTTAAAGGACAAAATAATTCACGTAACTACCCTGCAGGTGTTTTGTTTGTTTATTTAATTGAGCCAATTCTCATTTTAGTAAGAAAATAGTGGGACATTTGGTACAATTTTTATTATGTTTGTTTATATCCTGCTTTTATATCTCCACAAAGAGACTCAGTCTTGTTGAGTTTTTCTTAAGGCCATGCCTCAATTAAGAAATTATTATTATTCAGAGGGTATCTCAATTGAGAAACTACTATTATTATTTAATAATGTATTATTATTAATAATAATAATATTCAGAGGCTCTCAATTGCGAAGCTACTATTATTTAATAATTTATTAAATACCACCCCAGCCCCATCATTCCACAGATATAACAACCCATTTTCCTATTTCCAACAGACCTCACTACCTCTGAGGATGCTTGCTATAGATGCAGGCGAAACGTCAGGAGAGAATGCCTCTAGAACATGGCGATATAGACCGAAAAAACCTACAACAACCTAGTGATTCCAGCCATGAAAGCCTTCGACAATACATTATTATTATTCAATTGAGAAGCTACTATTTATTATTATTATTATTACTCAGAGGGTGTCTCAATTGAGAAGCTACTATTATTATTTAATAATTTTATTATTATTATTATTATTATTATTATTCAGAGGGTATCTCAATTGAGAAACTATTACTATTATTTAATAATTTATTATTATTATTCAGAGGCTGTCTCACTTGAGACGCTATTACTATTAATTATTATTATTATTATTATTCAGAGGCTGTCTCAATTGAGAAGCTACTATTATTTAATAATTTTATTAATATTATTCAGAGGGTATCTCAATTGAGAAACTATTACTATTATTTAATAATTTATTATTATTATTATTATTCAGAGGCTGTCTCAACTGAGAAGATACTATTATTATTTAATATTATTATTATTATTCAGAGGCTGTCTCACTTGAGACGCTATTACTATTATTTAATATTTTTATTTTTATTATTATTATTATTATTATTATTCAGAGGCTGTCTCACTTGAGATGCCATTACTATTATTTATTATTATTATTATTATTATTATTATTATTATTCAGAGGCTGTCTCACTTGAGATGCTATTACTATTATTTAATATTATTATTATTATTATTATTATTCAGAGGCTGTCTCACTTGAGATGCTATTACTATTATTTAATATTATTATTATTATTATTATTATTATTCAGAGGCTGTCTCACTTGAGATGCTATTACTATTATTTAATATTTTATTATTATTATTATTATTATTATTATTATTATTCTTCAGAGGGTGTGTCAATTGAGAAGCTACTATTATTTAATTTATTATTATTATTATTATTCAGAGGATATCTCACTCAATTGAGAAGCTACTATTATTATTTAATATTATTATTATTATTATTATTATTAAGAGGGTGCCTCAATTCTATACTATCATATAGAACATAAACATTTCCATCACAGAGGAAGGTACTGAAAGAACAAGCCTCATTAGATGCCATCGTGACAACTTCAGAGCACTGTTTTTGCTTGGAGGTCTGTTATTTTATCCATGCAGATGCCCACATTCTTCCTCAGAAGAAGCAAATTCCTAATATTTCATGCCATCATTGAGGCCAGAGATTTCGCAAACAGTGAGACAAGGCTCAATGAGCTTCCAACCTGATGGTTCTTGCTGGTTTTTGGGGTCCCACCCCCTTGCGACTGTGGCTTTGCCCAGCGCAGGAATGCAGCCTTGGACACCTTCCCTAGCCTCACCTGCCAGGACTTGTGCCCGGCTGTGTTTGCACGACCCTTGCATTAATCAAAGGGGATTTGTTTGCCATTAGGGCACAATGTACACACGCATCCTTTGTGTCATGAGTCAATTCTCATTTCAGAAAGAAATTCTATGCAAGGCGAGGATGCTGAGTCATTTTAGAAGAAAGATAGAACCGCTGCTGGAGAGCAACAACAAGTCCTGCCTTCTGCTCCGTTTAGAGAGTAATCCTGTTTGGGAATTACGTAATGTAATCTTCAGCTGCCCCCAAGGGAAGCTTTCCCAGTCAGGTGGTCTGGTCGGGATCGTCAGGCCAAACCAGTCCAGAACTGGGAGCAACTGGAGAGAGAGCCATAATGGACACTGCCGTCCCAATTAACAATATTAATTACTGATATTGCAGTTGATGCTTTTATCTCACAATTGTGTGGTTGCTTATCTTCAAAGTTCTCTTTCTTACGTCATCATTAACATTGACTGTGACTTGGCTTCTAACTGCAAGAGGTAGTTTATGTAGTAATTGCAATGTTGCATTGTTTGGTATTTTATAATTGGGTTTATATGTACTTTACCCCATGGTCTAAGGTAAATGCAAAGGACTCTGGGGGGCTGGCCTTGTCCATAGACACCTCCAAGGTCATGTGGCCTGCATGACTGCATGGAGCGCTGCTACCTTCCCACCAAAGCAGTACCTATTGATCCACTCCCATTTGCATGTTTTCGAACGGCAAGGCTGGCAGGAGCTGGGGCTAACAGTGGGAGCTCAGTGTGTGTGTGTGTGTATATATATGCACACACATATATATTGATTGATATACATTGATATATATATACACACACATATATTGATATATATTTATATATATATATACACACACACATATATTGATTGATATACATTGATATATATACACACACACATATATATATATGCACATACATATATATTGATTGATATACATTGATATACACACACACACACATATTGATATACATTGATATATATACAGTATATTCTGGCGTATAAGACTACTTTTTAACCCAAGAAAATCTTCTCAAAAGTCAGGGGTCGTCTTATACGCGAGCGTAATCTTATGCATGGGAGTCGTCTTAATTCTATATTTTAACTGGAAAAGTTAAAATATACAAATATACGTCTTATACACCCAGTCGTCTTATAAGCCGGAATATACGGGTATATAAACACACATATATATTGATTGATATACATTGATATATACACACACACATATATATTGATATACATTTATATATATATATATAAAAACACACACATATATATTGATTGATATACATTAATATACACACACACATATATGCACACACATATATATTGATTGATATACATTGAGATATATATAGATATATATGACATTTATATGCATATACATATACACCACCTGCTGCTGTTTCTTGTGCTATGCTAATATAATGTAGTGTAGTATATTGTATATAATAATGTAATACAATATAATATTAATAGTAATACATTATAATTATATATTTTATATTATATGCAATATTACTAATATTACAATATAATGGTGTAGTACAATATAGTAATATATGTGTGTGTATAGTAATATAGTAATATACTGATACTGTGCTATGCCAATAAAATATATTGTATGTGTATGTGTATGTGTGTGTATGTATGTGTGTGTGTGTGTGTGTGTGTGTGTGTGTGTGTGTGTATATATATATTTATTTATTTATTTATTTATTTACTCCTTTTGTATACCGCAAATATCAGCCGCGGCGACTCTAAGCGGTTTACAGTAAAATGTGCAACATTGAACAATATATATGACAAACAACCACAAACAATACACAAAACGTCATCACGCCTCGAATAGGATCAGATCCAAATCTCATAGTCGTTTTACCATTCCTTGTTCAGTATGCCGTCTTCTGAGTCAGATGTTATTGCATGCTTATCCGAACGCCTGTTCGAAGAGCCACGTCTTAACCCGCCTCCTAAACGCCAATAGCGAGGGGGCCTGCCTGATCTCCACTGGTAGGGCATTCCATAGCCGAGGGGCCACCACCGAGAAGGCCCTGTCCCTCGTCCCCGCCAGCCGCACTTGTGATGCTGGCGGGCCCTCTGAGTCCCATTTGGGGTGGGAAGGGCGGCATATAAATGTCGTAAATAAATCATAAATAACTATATTGTATGGAGGGGTTGGTTTAACCTCCAGAGCTTGCTAGTCAAACTGAATGACCGTGTTGCAAAGGGATGCACGTCTCCAAATTGTGGCAGGAACATGAAAAGTTTGGAAAGGACTGAGCTAGAGGCAAACAGGTCAGGGAGGAAGAAGAAAAGCTCTCTCTAAGGCGCTCCGGGCCCATTGCCTTTAATCCAGAGGGTGGATTAGCTGCTCACATCTGTCAACACA